CCTTCCCCATTGTTTTACATAGAAAGTATGAGAATCTTCAGTTTGAACCAGCTCATAGTATAAAGAGTAATAGTAGAGAGAGAGAGAGAGAGAAGAAGAAAAAAGAGAGAAAAAGAAAAAGAAGAGAGAGAAAATACATAGACTTCCAGATCTCCTCAAGCTGATGATCATATAATTTTTTTATTTTTTTCCCGTCTCCGTTTTCTCCTTAATACTACCTTGAGATTTTCTTATAGTTCACTAATATAGATCTCCTTGTTTTCCTTTTTAATATAGTCTATAAATTTTGTCCAGTCTGTTTTTTGACAGGCCTCTTCATTTAGTGCCATTCTTTGGGTGAGTCTATCCATGTTTAGTATATCCAGAACTTTTAGGTTCCATTGTTCCTTTGTGGGTACCTCTCTTGTTTTCCATACTCTGGCTAGGATGATCCTTGCCGCTGTTGTCATGTAGAAGAAAAGTTTGTCTGTGTTCTTATCCATTTTACTATCTGTTATTCCCAATAGGAAGCCTCCGGTTTTAAATCCATTTTATCTGTAAAATTATCTCTATTTGTTTCCCTATTTGATGCCAGAATTCTTTAACTCTTTTACACTTCCACCACATGTGGATGAAATTACCAATTTTCTTCTCACACTTCCAACACTTTTCTCTTATTCTTCCCTTACTGATTTTTTCTAGTATTTCTGGTGTCAAGTACCATCTATAAAATAATTTGTACCAGTTTTCCTTCATTTCTATTGCGTAAGAATATTTCAGTTTCTTCCACCAAATTCCTTCCAATTCAAGCCACTCTTTGAACACAAACTCTCCTTCTTAAAGTTGTGAAATCAGCTTCCAAGGAAAAAAAGGCAGGACTGTTTGTTACTTTATTTGATTGCTGTGCGTTGCCTAAAAAGACACTACAAATCCTATACTTTCAAGCCTATACTTCCCTAACTTGTGAAATCAGCTTACAAGGCACCAAACGCTCTCAAGGTTGTTTGTTTTTTCTTTGAGTGCTGTGCGTTGCCTAACAAGACACTGCAAATACCATACTTTCCCCTGAAGTTTGCCCAGTACTATTTGCGGTATTTTGCGTTTTGCGCAATCGTGTCCGCCATTAACGAAACGACATTTCACCCACATCTATGGCAGGCATCAGAGGTTGCGAGGTCTGATTGAAACTAGGACAAGTGAGGTTTCTATATCTGTGGAATGTCCAGGGTGGGAGAAAGAACTCTTGTCAGTTTGAGGCAAGTGTGAATGTTTCAATTGGCTAGCTTTATTAGCATTGAATGGCCTTGTAGCTTCAAAGCCTTGCTGGATGCTACCTGGGGGAATCCTTTGTTAGGAGGTGTTAGCTAGCCCTGATTATTTCCTGTCAGGAGTCCCTCTGTTTAGATAGACAGATAGATAGATAGATTTGGGAAGTTGCTACATGGTTCTCTTGACAGCTGATATAATATGTAATATCTGTTTGTTGGCATGAAAAAAAAAATCCCTCTTCCTCATGTTGTATAGTGGAATTGTCTATGTTGTAGTTTTAAATGTAGGTGTATGTAAAACACTTTTTAAAAATCCATAATTGTTTATTCTGAATGTCCCTGAGTACCTTGAGTCTATAATGACCCTACCCTTCCAACATCTCCAGCTTCCTCCAATTTCTGTTCTTGATGTTTTTGTTTCTTGCTTACCCCCTTGCTGTGGGTACAGCAGAATAGCTCTGCTTGATGTTTTGCTGCTGTTTACATCCTCTTCCGTGCCCTGGATATTTGAGTGTTGTTCTACAGCACCATGCAGGAAAATGAGAGTCACCATTGAATTAAAAATAAAATAATGGCATAGTATATTTGAGAGCAAGCCCTGAATAGGCTTGGGGACTGGAAGAAGAATATCCCCAGAGAATTGTATAGAAAAGAAAATCTCCTTAGATGTTTCATTTGAGAAATTTGTCTTCAGCTGGAGTCATGGAGCAGGCTCTTTCCCACGACACAGTTATTACACTATGACTCCACTTTAATTGTTGTGGTAGTTTAGTGATGCACCAGATCTTTTTGCCAAGAATTCTAAATGCTTCTTTAAACTGCAAATTCCAGGAGCTGATAGGATGGAACCATGGCAGTTAGAGGATTTACCATATATATTCAAGTATAAGTCAAGTTTTCACCCCTTTTTTATGCTGAAAAAGCTCCTCTCAACTTATACTTGAGTCAAAGTTATTTATTATTTTACTGTATTATTATTACATTTATTATTTTACTCTATTAGTAGTAGTAGTAGTGTCAAGGTCAGACGCCAGCTAATTCAGATAATACTATCATTGCTAGCAGACTCTATCACAACAAGTAGTATTACATTTACATTATTTTACTCTGTTATTATTTTTATTGCATTTATTATTTGACTCTATTTATTCTTGTTATTATTACATTTATTAGTTTACTCTTTATTATTTATTTTATTACATTTATTAGTTTACTCTATTTATTATTGTTATTACTACATTTATCATTTTACTTTATTACTGTTATTATTACAGTTATTATTTGACTCTATTAGTTTTACATTGATTATTTTACTTGTTATTATTGTTATTATTACATTTATTATTTTACTCTATTATTGTTATTATCACATTTATCAGATTATTTATTATTGTTATTATTACATTTATTAGTTTACTGTATTTCTTATTGGTATTATTACATTTATTATTTTACTCTATTGTTATTTTATTTATTATTTTACTCTATTACTATTATTATGGAAGGATACACAATACATTGAAGAAGGTTAGAATAATGGTTTCATCAGTTTTTGGACAGTCTTATCTTAAATTACAGTTAATGTAAATATGCAAAAACATTTAACCTACTGATGCCTCAATTAATATAATTTTAATGTATTGTCGAAGGCTTTCATGGCTGGAATCACTAGGTTCTTGTGGGTTTTTTCGGGCTATATGGCCATGTTCTAGAGGCATTTTTTCCTGACTTTTCGCCTGCATCTATGGCAAGCATCCTCAGAGGTAGTGAGGTCTGTTGGAATTAGAAATATGGGTTTATATATCTGTGGAATGACTGGGGTGGGGCAAAGAGCTCTTCTCTGCTGGAGCTAGGTGTGAATGTTTCAACTGACCACCTTCATTAGCATTTGAAGGTCTGGCTGACCCTGGGGGAATCTTTTGTTGAGAAGTGTTAAGATGTACCTGATTGTTTCCTCTCTGCTGTTTTGCTGTTGTAATTTTAGAGTTTTTTAATACTGGTAGCCAGATTTTGTTCATTTTCATGGTCTCCTCCTTTATTTATTATTTATTTATTTCGAGGTTTTATATACCGACCCTCTCACCTTCAAAGAGGGATTCGGACCGGTTCACAACATGTGTTAACATACAAAGAATATACAATAACAACACAATGCCACTTCATTACACGATTAAAATATCAGCACCATACACATTAAAACATTATCATCACAGTTAAAAGAGCCAAATTGTCCAACACCATCACAATCCCATTCATCATCCTCCTTTCATGTGGGCAAAGAATTAAATCAGTTGTCAAATGCCGCGTTCCACAACCAGGTCTTTGTTAGTTTCCTGAACGTCATGAGGGAGGGGGCAGTTCTGATCTCTAATGGCAGGGAGTTCCAAAGTCGAGGGGCCACCATCGAGAAGGCCCTGTCCCTCGTCCCCACCAGCCGTGCTTGTGCAGGCGGAGGGACCGAGAGCAGGGCCCCTCCAGACGATCTTAGTGGTCTTGATGGTTCGTAGGGGAGAATACGTTCGGAGAGGTAAACAGGGCCGGAGTCGTTTAGGGCTTTATAGGTTAACACCAGGCACATCTTAACACCTCTCAACAAAAGATTTCCCCAGGCTCAGCCAGGCCTTCAAATGCTAATGAAGGTGGTCAGTTGAAACATTCACACTTAGCTCCAGCAGAGAAGAGCTCTTTGCCCCACCCCAGTCATTCCACAGATATATAAACCCATTTTCCTAATTCCAACAGACCTCACTACCTCTGAGGATGCTTGCCATAGATGCAGGCGAAACGTCAGGAAAAATGCCTCTAGAACATGGCCATATAGCCCAAAAAAACCCACAAGAACCTAGATATAATTTTATTGGTATATGTTAAATATTCAAAAACATTTAACCTACTGATGTCTCAATTAATATAATTTTATTGGCATCTATTTTTATTTTGAAATAGACCAGTAGCTGCTGCATTTCCCACCCTCGGCTTATACTGGAGTCAATATGTTTTCCCAGTTTTTTTTTTGTTTGTTGTAGAATTAGATGCCCCGGTTTGTAATCGGGTGGGCTTGTACTCGAGTATATATGGGCAAGTACCATAATTGTACAGGCAACCCCCAGCTAACAAAGCCTCTGATAAAATAAACTCTCCTTTTAAGAGTCTTTATGCCCCTAGACACATTTTCTTCCTTATCTTCTATATAGCTGAAAGGGTTTTTAACATGGTGAGAACAACAAAATAGGCAAAAAAAAAGGAGAAGCTGATTAAAATGCTTGACCAGCTCCCTCCAGCGTGTCGAAGAAGCATCTTTCTATAAATCTGACCATCAAAATGCAAATCATAAGAAAAGTGGAGACTGGTGAAAGACACAATCATCCAGGAAGAATCATCCTTTTCAAATAGTCCCTTGAAGCTTCAGCGTGTTTTATTTATGGAAGGCTTACTTGACCTGCTTGTTTCATTTTACATACTGCTAGTTTCTGATAAAAAATGTGCTTCTTATTTTTTATGGTCTAGCAACCTATAACATTTATTTCCATGTTATGCCTGCTCTTGTAGCATATTATCTGCTAAAGACATCATGCCAGGAAGATATCAGCTTGTTCAGTGAGGTATCCCTGTGATGCAAAAGTATTGCAAACCTAAAAGTCCCCTAAAGGGAGGATCTGAGATCCGGTGGTGATTGAGTATCCTCTGCTGGTGCTGTGCATGTATTGCATGCGATCCTCCATGCTCAGAACTGTCCTTTCCTTTCTCCTGCAGGACATTATGATGACTGTTATCATATCACCACAGAAATCATGGTTGGAATAGTAGCCGGAGATGTTCTTCTCACTGCACTCCTCCTCATCCCAGTCTATTACTGCGCTCGTACAAAGGACACAAAGCAAAGTGACCCAAGTAAATGAAGCATCCTTGAGTAACTAAGCCCTGGGGCCCTTCCCAGACATCTGTGTGTAGAGGGCCAGTTCTATCATTAGGTAGAATGAGGCAGCTGCTTTGGGTTGAGGATGCTGTGCTGGACGGGGTCACACTCCCACTAAAGGCACAGGTTCACAGTCTGGGAGTTCTCCTAGACTCATCGCTGAGCCTGGAACCCCAGGTCTCGGCGGTGGTCAGGGGAGTTTTTGCACAACTAAAACTTGTGCGCCAGCTGCGCCCGTACCTTGGGAAGGCTGACTTGGCCATGGTAGTCCATGCTTTGGTTACATCCCGTTTAGACTACTGCAACGCTCTCTACGTGGGGTTGCCTCTGAAGACTGCCCGGAAGCTGCAGCAAGTACAACGTGCGGCAGCCAGATTACTAACAGGTGCTGGGTACAGGGAGCACACCACTCCGCTGTTACACCAGCTCCACTGGCTGCCAATTAGCTTCCGAGCACAATTCAAAGTGCTGGTGTTAACCTATAAAGCCCTAAACGACTCCGGCCCTGTTTACCTCTCCTAACGTATTCTCCCCTACGAACCATCAAGATTACTAAGATCGTCTGGAGGGGCCCTGCTCTCGGTCCCACCGGCCTCACAATCGCGGCTGGTGGGGATGAGGGACAGGGTCTTCTCAGTGGTGGCCCCACGACTCTGGAACTCTCTCCCGCCAGAGGTCAGAACCGCCCCAACAATCCTGACATTCAGGAAACAGGTGAAGTCGTGGTTATGGAGACAGGCTTTTGAAGAATGAGACAACGATCTGGATGGAAGACGGTGTATATTCGATATTCGATTTTAGTATGACGAATGATCACTGTAGTTTTAAATATATGTGCTTTTTTAATGTTTTATTGTAATGTGTACTTTGATATTTTACCGATTGTATGTGTTTTATGGTTGGAAACTGGGCTGAGTCCCTCTTATGAGGTGAGAAGCTCAGTATATAAAACTTTAAAATAAATAAATAAATAAATAAATAAATAAATAAATCCTGGAAAACAGAGAGTGGCAGAAAGCGAGATGTATGTCCTTGCCTGTGACTTGGAAATTAACCTGCTGTGGTTAGTTGTAGCAGAGTGACTTAAGAAACTGCAAGTTGCTTCTGGTGTGAGAGAACTGGCTGTTTGCAAGCACTTTGCCCAGGGATGCCTAGATGTTTTGATGTTTTACCTTTTTGCCTAGAACCGGATTTTAGCCAAGTCCCATGTAAAAGACACACAGGCAAGAGGAAAAAGGAACAGAAAAAACTTTGCTCTTATCAGCAGAGGCATAAACTTGCAGTGTTGCATACAAAATCAAACAGTACAACAAACTTACATAGTCCTTGTAAGTAACACAGAATAAGGCTTCTTCATCTTCATTCAAATGAGAGAGCAAAACATAAACCTTGAGTAAATAACTATTCCACCATGGCGAAGAGCATCACTGTTAGAGCATAGCAGCATTACAGCATATTGCTTCTCTTCCTCAGAGTAGCATATTGCTTCTCCTCCTCTAAGTAGCGTATTGCTTCTCCAAACTGTATTCTAAAATCCATATGGTTCTACCCCACCGGGTGTGGCCCAAACATGCTGGCTGACCTACATTACCAGCTGCACATAATAATTAACATCATAGGGTTTTTCTTTAATACACACTTGATCCTGCTACGACTTATTGGAACATTACCATTCTTGTGGGAGGCTTTTGTCATGTCCTCATATGGGGAGCTGGAGCTGACAAAGGGAGCTCAACCCGCTCTCCCCAGATTCGAACTGCTAACCTCTTGGTCAGCAGTCCTGCCAGCACAAGGTTTTAAACCAACCTTCCTAATGAAATCCCCAGCAATTAATAACTTGCAAAGTGACAGCCTTCATATTCCATGTTATGACTACTGTTCTTGTCTTATGTTTTTCTGCAGGTGAGCCAAGAGACTACATCAACATGATGGGAAAATATAAATGACCTCACTTTCTGTGTGACTCTGACCTCCAGCATGAATCGACACTGACCAGACCAGTAGTAGTTTCTATAGTACAGAAAAAAAATAAAGAGGAAGGGAGGACTTGGCTAGTGGAGACTTTTTCTTGTTTCTTAAAGTGTTCTCTGAATGAAATAAGTCATGGCAGAAATAAACTGTAGAGCTTTTCTGATTTTTACAAAATGAAAAACTGCCCCATTGGTTTTTCTCAGTGCCGTTTTCCCCATGAATCTTGCTTAGGGTCCTTCCACACAGCCATATAACCCAGCATATCAAGGTAGAAAATCCCACAATATCTGCTTTTAATTAGGATATCTGAGGGTGCTTCCAGACAGCACAAGATCAGAGGTTTTAGTGAGGGGCAAAAAATCTTGGGACTTCAGGGTAGGCCCACATACAGATCTGTTGGTCCTGATATTTCTGCCTCTGTTGTCCAGACTTGATGCTTTGTTCCAAGATTTCAAGGCTCCTAAGACGGCTGCCGGAAACTTGCAGTTTTTAAAAAAACCCACAAGATACGGATATGCAAATATTCGGTTATGCGGATCATGGCAAAAGTTCCGTTCTATGTGCAGGCCAGAGAAATTATGACTTCCACACGTTTCATAAAGTTTCTGGCACACAAACAAAGTTTTTGCCTTCTACTCAAGTGTTGCCTTCTTTTTAGGAACCAACCAAGCAGGACAAGCATCTAAATCCCAGGAACAAACCCAGATTAAAAAATCCTGTGATTTCCAATTGCAGGGACATACAGACATGCAAAGATCCAAATATTCGGCTCAAAACCGCAATTGCTTCCGTGTTTACAGGAAACGGCATCTGGCCATCCTGCTCTTTGCTGCAGGAGCTCCTGGGATAAAGGTAATGTCTGGATGGCCCCGAGTCCACACTGCCATATATTCCAGTTCAAAGCAGAAAATGTGGGATTTTATTCAGCTGTGTGGAAGGGGCCTGAGAAACATTGACTCACGTTGCAAAGACTCATAACATTGCCTAAAGTAATTGCTTGCAGTTCTTTGCCATCCCTGATCATTACTCACAATCCCACTAGGGATAGTGGGGATTATAATCTGGCAATATCTGGAGACCAATACTTTCTTGAAACAGCTGTTCTGTAAAAGAAATTACTGAAACAAAATTTGGAAGCTAATTCTCCAGGAAAGCAAAAAGAAAAAGTGTTCTACAGTGCTTTAAGAGATTTGTTTCGCCAAAAGCTTTCAAGCCACAATACATCTGTTGATTTATGGTGCTATAAAAAACCTAAATACCTTGACAATACCAGAACTCATCTGATTTGAGAAGCTAAGTAGGATCAGACTTGGGTAATAACTGGATGGGAAGCTGCAGATACTTTCAACTATGACAAACCATTTTTGAATATTCCTTGCCTTAGAAAATACTCAGAAATTGGTTGCCATACTGAGAGCATGTACAGAAGTGTTTCTCAATCTTCCTAATGCTGCGACCCCTTAATACAGTTCCTCATGTTGTGGTGACCCGCAACCATAAAATTATTTTCGTTGCTACTTCGTAACTGTAATTTTGCTACTGTTATGAATCGTAATATAAATATTGGATATGCAGGAAGTATTTTCATTCACTGGACCACATTTGGCACAAATGCCCCATATGCCCAAATTTGAATACAGGTGGGGTGGGGGAATTGATTTTGTCATTTGGGAGTTGTCGTTGCTGGGATTTATAGTTCACCCACAACCAAAGAGCATTCTGAACTCCACCAACAATGGAAGTGAACCAAACTTGGCACACAGAACTCCCATGAACAACAGAAAATTCTGGAAGGGTTTGGTGGATGTTGACCTTGAGTTTTGGAATTGTAGTTCACCTACATCCAGAGAGCATTGTGGACTCAAACAATGGTGGATCTGGACCAAACTTGGCACAAATACTCAATATGCCCAAATGCGAACACTGCTGGAGTTTGGGGAAAATAGACCTTGACACTTGGGAGTTGTAGTTGCTGGGATTTATAGTTCACCTACAATCAAAGAGCCCCTTGAACCCCACCAACACTAGCATTGGGTCTAACTTTCCACATGCTTTGAAGGGACTCGCTGGCATGAGCCTCCCTCCAGCCTTGTAGGCTTTCCCTCACCTACACATGCGTACCACGCTGTCATGGGGCAATCACACCTGCTCTCCCCTCCCCACTTGGAGTCTCAGAAACAGCCCTCCCCTTGGCTGAGAGGCCAGCCAATCACAATGGAGGAGGGCTTTTGATGGGAGGATTTTCTGTCTGTTTCCAAAAAGGAAGAGAAGGACCGGTGAAGAGGTCTTCAGTCTTCTCTGCAAAAGGGGTTCCTAAGACCATCAGAAATATATGTTTTCTCATGGTCTTTGATGACCCCTCAAAACCCCTCACAACCCCTCCCCCAGGGGTCCTGACTCCCAGGTTGAGAAACACTGATGTACAGCCTCCAAAATCAGATGGGGCTTGGTACCTTCAAGGTACACCCCACTGTTCCTACTTTGCTCTTGAACTTTAAAACAGGATATGCCTTTGTTGTTCTTGATGACTATTTTTGTGGGTTTGTAGGTGGCTGTGGAGCCCTATTCTTGACCCGCATCTTCTCCCACAGTGAAGGCATTGGTTTCCAGGTGGAAGGCGGTCCCGGTCGGGGTTGGCTTGACGCGCCTTCCTCCTGGCACGTTTCTCTCTTTCACCCTCCACTCGTGCCTTCTCGAATTCTGCAGCACTGCTGGTCACAGCTGACCTCCAGCTGGAGCTCAAGGGCCAGGGCTTCCCAGTTCTCAGTGTCTATGCCAGAGTTTTTAAGGTTGGCTTTGAGCCATCTTTAAAACTCTTTTTTTAAAAATTGTTTTCCGTTCTTAAGTTCAGAGTAGAGCAACTGCTTTGGGAGACGGTGGTCAGGCATCCGGATAATGTGGCCGGTCCAGCGGAGTTGATGGCAGAGGACCATTGCTTCAATGCTGGTGGTCTTTGCTTCTTCCAGCACGCTGACGTTTGTCCGCTTGTCTTCCCAAAAAGTCTGTCACTGCCTCCACGTTTTCTTCCTCTATTTGCCAGTTATTAATCAGTCTGGTTGCCATCATCTTGTTTTTTATGTTTAACTGCAACCCAGCTTTGCACTTTCTTCTTTCACCTTGGTTATAAGGCTTCTCAGCTCCTCCTCGCTTTCAGCCATCAAAGTGGTATCATCTGCATATATAAGATTGTTAATGTTTCGCCAAGACACTACACTTTGAAGGCCACCATACTTGGATAATAAGGGATTGCCTAAGTAAGTACCATGTAACTCAATCTGCCAATGTGTCTTTGTTCTTCTGCCTTTCTTACAACTTGTCCAAAAGGCACTCGGGGCAGAAGGACCCATGCTTTCTAAATAGTTCATTTTTTGGGAATATTGCAACAGGTTCAGCAGCAACAGATGCATTGCAATGCAAATTCCAACCAGCTGGTGGCAGGAAGACTAACAGCAAGCTTGAAACTTGAAAGCGTTGCAAGACAGTATCTTGCGCCACTTGTGAGCAGGGAGGGAGCAGAGCTAGATTGTGTAACGCGAAGCAATTTTCAGAGAGATAGGCATACTAATCTGTCACAGCATAAAAAGCAAAATGAGCAGATACAGGGGTGTGTAAAAAACACACTCATGAATGGTGTCTGATAGTGGATTGAATTTGGAAGGTTATTTAATGACACAGCACTGATTTGGTAGCCCAGCGTCCATCCCGAGAAGCAATGTAAACATCCTTATATAGAATCCTTTCAAAAATAGGCAATGGCGACAATTGAGCAACAAAAGGTCGTGGCATTTGTACAAACTCAACAATAAAGAGCAAGCACTGTTTCCAAACTATGGATATTGATATCGAGCTCTTTTGGGGGGAAGTCTCCCAGCGGAGGGGATCCCCTAGGACCGCTCAAAGGGTCCTTGAACCTCGGTGAGGCCAGCGGAAGCCAATCCAAAGAATATAAAAATATTTAAAATTAATCTCACCGGAGGCGGAAGAAGTTCAGTGACCGAAGGCGTTTATTTTGCGATTCAGCTGAAAAGGATGTGATTGTAGTGATCATTCACATACAAGCATAATTTTACAGAATTTCCAAACATTTTTATAGTGTGCAGACAAAGAAAAACAGTTTCAAAATTCCCGCCCGCCCTCTGCCGGCCGGCTTCGTGCTGATTGGCTGGCCGCGGAACAGCTGGGAGGAGGCTTGGTGGCACGCCTCGCCTCCGGACCAATCAGCGGGCTCCGCTGCCTCTGGGAGGCCAATCAGTGCCTTCCTAGCGCTTCTGAAGATGGACCAATCGGCGGCCAGGAGGCGGGACGAGGCTTGACAATGGCTGAGGAAATGATGAGCTTAGGGGCATCCGCCAGCTGGAATGTGAGGCTTTTGTCCTCACTGGCGGGGTGTGAGATAAGGGAATAATGGGTTTCCTGGTCTGTGATGGTTTGGAAGGGAAATATGAATGGCTTTTTCGACATCGGACCTCGGGGGGATCAACAATATCTTAATGATTTAATCAATCCTTTCTTTCCGAGTTTCTGTTGGCCCCCTTCCCTCGCTGGTCTTGCTCCGAGGGCCAGGGTTGGGGATCAACAGTATTGTCCATGCAAGTGAATCAATCAGGAAGGGTTTTGGGGAGAACAAAGGAGCTTCTCCCCAAGGCAGGACAGTAATCCTCAGGTCACATCTTTATGGGGCAAGGGTCAACAGGAAAGGCGGGAAACGGGAGCACAGTATACTCTATACAACATTTCATCTCATATATTTCATAGGACAATCCCATCCCCATCTCAAGCAAAGTTTATTAAAATATTTGATTTTTATTATTGAATCAAACGGGAATTTCATGGTCCCTTGGTGGAGGTGCGCGGGAACGGAGGCTGCTTGCACTCCAAGGCAAGCCTTGTCAGGAGGTTTGTGTCCAAAGATATGGCAAAAACAGTCCGAAGCGTGAGGCAGAAAGTCAATAAGAGAAGGCAAGAAAAGTCCAAGGGTGATCGCCGGGTGAAATGGTGACGGTGTCCATTGTCCGTCCTTTGGAAAACTATGTCTCTCTCGCCGGAGACCGGGACTCACACCTGGCCGCCCTCCC